TTCGCTTCCCTCTCCATACCCCAGTTCTGAACTTAAAGGAAGTGGCTGAAGAAACATACTATAGCTTGGCGGTTAGGGTTCTGATCTGCAAAGCAGGAGACGTACCGTCACTTCATTTCTTTGCCTGATTCAGAGCGATAGGGAACGGGGGGCGGGGCGTCTGCAAAGCAGGAGACGTACCGTCACTTCACTTCTTTGCCTGATTCAGAGCGATAGGAAACGGGTGGGCGGGGCAGGAGGAAGAAACCTCAGCTCCCACATATCTCTTCTCAAATCAAAAAGCTGAAAATCTCAGGTTTCAGTCCAACAAAAACAGACAGCATTCAATTTTTGCAAAAACAGTCAAGAGATGTTGGTTTCCTTCCAATGCAGAATGAAAATAAATTTCAAAGCCTGGAAAGTTGCTCTGAAATTAAATAGTTGCTCTCTAATCAGTTCTAGCAAAATTCCAGTGCATGCTGTTATATGACTGAAATATTTCAGGACGATACCACCAGTTGCATGTCCTACAAGATCAAAGAACATTATTTTTGCATCTGAACCAGTGCATAATCCAGTGCATAATCCAGTGCTACAAGATCAAAGAACATTATTTTTGCATCTGAACCAGATTCAGAAATTAATTCATAATCCAGTGCTTTGTTTTTACTCTATACGAGTGATACCATACTATGCCAGTCCCACTTTATCAATATACTCTTTCATCTCTTGGCAGAGATTTGTATGAGCATCTGATCATGCTCTTGTCTGAAGGCCCAGTATGCATGGAAGTAATGTTTCACTGCTATTTGCGGTGTGCCCTGAGAAGCCTACTCCTAGAGCTGGAGTCATCTCTCACGTGGTGAGGTCTGTCATTTGGTGCTATGCCAGGAACTGTTTTCCTTTTGACCCATTTATGAGCTTGGGACCCTCTTATTCAAAGGGATGTCAAGCTACCAAGACAGGGCTTAGAGACTGCTGCATTTGGTGACAGCTGCCATATTAGAGTCAACACCAAGAGCAATGATGTTTTCCATTCACATGCTCTTTCTTTCACACATCATCATGTACAGGGCTCAACAATTAATGTAATCTACTCGCCTATGGCGAGTAGATTACAAGCCGGCACAGCTGCGCAGCACCGTCAGCGCATGTGCAGTGCAGTCTGCGCATGCGCAGTGTGCCAAACCGCACGGCTGGCGAGTGGGGCTCGCCGCGGTTTGGCAAGCCCTGATCATGTAGGTGTGAGGGTTTCATCCTAGGGCCAACCATGGTACAGCCAGGCGCTTTGCAAATTTCATCCACACAATTCAGTCAGCATTACTGAGGAGCTAGCTACCTCACTCCTGATTGGAGTCTCTCCAGCTCTGCTATTTGACTCACCTCCTACCCTGCTCTGCTATGGAGCTTCAGGGGGTAGCTGAGTTAGTCTGTTACAGAAAAAAACAACAAATGGTCTGGTAGCACTTTATAGACGAACAAAACATGTAGATGGTATCATGAGCACTACTGCACCTCAAGCTTGGCCTGAAGTACGTACAGTCACATCGGTCCTGGGCCTTTCCTAAGTAGAGTCTGCCAGTTGCACTGACTGAGTTATGGAGGGTGTTATGGAAGGAAATAAAGTTTCACAGTGCAAACTAACGGTTCTTATCAGCCTCTTTTAATTATTTAGTCTTTGAGGTGCTAATAGACTATTTGTTGTTTTTTAAGCTTTTCCTGTTACAGACTGGCTCGGCTACCCCTCTGAAACTTATCTACCCAATGTCCTCTTTTCTCCCCCATCCAATTTTTTTCCCTGACACCTCCTTCCCTTATTTATTCTTGGTTCTGGACTTCCAGCACTCCAGTCATTTGAAGAAGTGGGCTGTGCCCACGAAAGCTCATGATACCATTTACATGTTTTGTTAGTCTATAAAGTGCTACCAGACTATTTGTTGTTTTATAAGTTTTTTATGGAAGGAAATGTTCATTAGGGGCTAGGAATAGCAAAGCTCACTTTCACTGAGCCCTACAGTATATTCATTCCCTGGCGTGCGGCAAAAGCATCAAGTCCAGCTCCTGCCATCCCCTCACCCTGAGCGGCAAATCTTTGGCTCCTCCATTTGCTGGGCCAGGATCAGTGAGCACTGAAGTCAATGGGAGTTTTACTTGCCCAAGGACAGCAGCTTCAGAACTAATCTGGCCAGGGTGGAAAACGATGGACAAGAAAAGGGCCTCAGCAGTCTGGATCCGGCCCGCCAAGTGGGTGGACCTAGCCCACAGAGGCCCTGCTGCTCCTCTGCCCCCAGGCCAATTAGGGCCTGGAGAAGCACCCAAATCCTTCTCCGCTCTGCCCCCACCCTGTGAGCAGTGGGCCTGGAGGCAGGGGAGCTCCGTGAAGCTTCCTTCGCCCTGCAAGGAGCCAGTGGCACTTCAAAAGAGCCACATGCTTCTCGCAGGGCAGGAGGAAGCTTCCCGTGCTCCCCCGCCTCCAAGTCCTGATTGGCCTTGGGGTGAGGGAGCGTGCCAAGCCTCTTCCAGGGCATGGGTGCCTAGTGGGAAAGGGGGGGGGCAAAGGCGCTCCGCTGCCCCCAGACCAATCATGGTCTGGGGTGGGATAGCCCCAACCCTTCTGGGGTGGCCTGGGGCTACTTCAAAATTTTTTGAAGTGGCCCCCGGGCAAAAATTATTGCCCAGCCCTGGACAAGAGTCTCTAAGGACAAGAATCTCTCTTCTAAGGGTGGGAGCAGGGGCTGAATGGCTCCTTTACTTAGCACAACTGTAGTATCTCCATCTCAGTTTCAGGCAGGCAACGTGACACTGAGCCCTGCTTCCCCACTTCCAAAACCCCAGGACCAAGACAGAAATCAGTGCTGGAGAATGCAGTAAAATCAATGATGCCATTTGAACGTTAGAACAAATACAGGACTATGTAGCACTTTAAAGACAAACAAGATGGTTTATTAGGTGATGAGCTTTCGTGGGCCAGACCCACTTCCTCAGATCAAATAGTGGAAGAAAATTTGAACGTTAGCTGATCAATGAGTGCCCTCTGGTGGCAATAAGATAAAAATCCTTTCATTCTAAACTATGTGGGCACACCAATGGGTTGCATTTTCAAAGCTCTTCTGCTTTATTTACATGAGAACTGGTACATGGGCCTAACAGTGCGTGTAAAACCCAAATGTGTATATTTTCAATGTGCACGAGATAAAAAGATAGCCTGTAACTGTAAGCTCTGGTTCTCATCCTTCTATGTTAGGAGTAGGAGCTTTGTGGTTCAGGGTGCTGGAACAATTTTTATAGCAGGGGTGCAGGGAGCCATTGAATCAAACTGGGACCTCTCTTCCTGTTGCTTGAACAAATTCTTCTTTTTTCAGTTAGCTTCTTGGGTCATCTACCTTTCTGTACTTACGCATTCTCTTCATTTCACTCTAATCTTTCCAGCTCTCCCAGCATGTTCTTGTCACCCCGCATTCTTGCTGTTGCACTCTGAGCTATTAATTTGCACATGGGGAGCTGTTACATATTTACTAGGAAACCATATATCCATTTCACTCTAATCTTTCCAGCTCTCCCAGCATGTTCTTGTCACCCTGCATTCTTGCTGTTGCACTCTGAGCTATTAATTTGCACATGGGGAGCTGTTACATATTTACTCGGAAACCATACATGCCCACGATAGCTCATCATCTAATAAACCATCTTAGTCTTTAAAGTGCTACACTGTCCTGTATTTTGTTTCATACATCGTTAAAGGTTATTCAGGGAAGGTGTAAATATGAAGGCTCATCCCCCCAAGGGCCCTGACATAAAGTAACTCAGGAAAAATTGGCACCATTTCCTAAATGGTAATTTGTGAGGCCCAGAACATGCAGATAGTTACACAAGCAAATAGGCTAAATCTCCTGTGGTGTCCTACCCAGGGAATGCCACAGGGGACAGTCTTTCCTCTGCAGCAGCAGCCACATTCTCCTCTTCTCCCTTCACCTCCTCATAGTCTCTCTATAGAGCAGGCCCACTGACAGGGATTGGGGGCTAAAGGGCAACTGCCCAGAGATTCAAAAGGGCGCAGGGCCCCAGGCTGCCACTGCTACCACAGGAATGGTGGTGGCCAGAGCCTTTACATGGCAGCTGGAGTGTTGCATGGTGCACTCCAGGAGCACTGAGGGCTGGCTGCCCCAGCCCTGCCTTTTCCTGGAGTACCAAGCCAGGCCCCTCCCAACTTTGCCCAGGGCCCCAGCGAGTCTGTCAGCCCTGCTGCTGAAGAGGTGGGGCTCTGCTAAGGGAGGGAAGGTATGGGGGAGGAGGGGTGCTGGAACAGTTTTTGTAGTGAGGGTGCTGAAGGTGGAAACCATGTATTTGAGTTACTGTTACTACTTCAAGCCAAGGGCTGCAGCAACCCCTAGGGTCTCAGGTAGGAAGAAGTGCAAGGCTGCGTGCATCATCCACCACATCCATGAGCAATCACTTCCCAGATTAATAGTGACACATTACCTACATTAATAGTCCGTTTCCTCTTCCATGATATGAAGTCACCTGCTGTGGCTGTAGGGCAGCCACTGCAAGAACTGTGCTATCATAAGTACAAAGGGAACCACGGGACCCTGTGGACAGTACTGAAACTCATGGGATTAGCAGGTGGGGGATTAAATGCCATTTGTTTTGAATAGGCAAAATTCCCTGCAGGAATAATCCGAAGGAGCTCAGAACAATCTTGCAGTCTCCTATCAGCTACAGAAGCCGCATCTACCTGGTCTGGGCTGGCCCAAGCCACTTGTGTGCCCTGGGACCTGGGAGCGCAGTGCATGTGCAGCCTCAGAAGCCGCATCTACCTGGTCTGGGCTGGCCCGAGCCACTTGTGCGCCCCGGGACCTGGGAGCGCAGTGCATGCGCAGCCTCACCCCCGCCCGGTCCGGCAGCCCCGTGTGGTGCCCCCTACAGTGGGGTGCCCTGGGTGGTAGCCCGGTCAGCCCATAGCTTGGACCGGCTCTGTACTTGGGAGCAATGTGGATCTTAATTCTTTTTTCCATTGTTATAGCAATTTGATTTTTACTCCAGTAATACAGGATGTGAGCCTTGTAATGCAACATCCTGAGTTATGCTTCACCTTAGACCTTCACCTAGTCTGTACGCTGTTCAGAGCAGGAAACATGGACTTATCTGCAGGCCTTCCTCCTGTTGAAATCAATGACAAAACTACCATGGGCTCTAATAGCAGCAAGTTTCTTCAGAGCCTGTATTTATAAAGTACAGTCTAAGACTATGATACTTAATGGTGCTGCACGTCATGAGGTTAATACAGCCACATGAGCCCCCAGTTATAGGCAGCATTTTAGCAAGTGTTATATACCACAATCAAGTAGGAACTAAAGATATCACATGTGAAACTGCATAACTTACTCAGAGGACCAAATTCCCCTTTCGGTGACCCAGGTGCAACTCCATTGTCATCTCAGTGTCCAGAAAGGATGGTGGGGAGAGTGGTATGTGCACCTGGGTGGAAAGGAGGAGAATTTGACCCAGTATGTAATCAAGAGACTAAATGTAGGGCTAGCTCCTTCCCTCTGTTTCTGCGAGCAGAGGAAAATGAACCTCTCTCAAGGAGCAGGAAGGGATGGCTCCTCCATTTTCCACCATCCCTCTTCTCTCCCACCATGGCTGGGGCCCAATAGAAGCTGCCCTCCCCCCAAAATGCTACAGGATCAGGGTTCCATGAGGGTGTAGGGGCAAGACTGATGACCAGAGAGGCACCAGCTATCTGTGGAATTGTTCCTTGCTGAACACTCGCATTCCAGTCAGAAAGCTAAGCAGGAGTTAATGCTGTTTCAAGAGGAAGAAAAGAAAATGTGGAAGGGTTACCCACCTTTTACAAAGATATTTTGCCTCTAGATAATTACTTGGAAACTCCAGGCTAGCCATGAGGCCCTCCCTGCCTCTGTCATCCATAGGAAAGGGAGAACACGAAACTCTTAGTTAGGTATGGGCACCCACCCCCCAAAAACCTCATAGCACCTAGCCATCAAGCAGGTACCCTTGTTCTAAAATAAGGCCCTAATGCAGAGCCCCAGAAAGAACCCTGCTTGGGAAAAAGCCCTCTTCTGAGAAAAGGTCAGTTTAACCTCAGAAAGCCAATACCCAGGCAGCACTTCACAAAAAAGACCCTTAGCCTTTTGGGCTGCTTACTCAAAGGACAAGACAACAACAGAAAATAAATGCACCAGATAAAATGCCTACAGTGAGAAACCCACACAAGCTGTGAAGAGTTATTTCTCTCTAGAGCTGCTGTGGGGAACCTTTTTTGGTGGGGGAGGGTAAGGGGGAGGCACTGAGCCACAGAAAAATCAGTCAGGGGCTGCACACAAGTGAGAAGCAAAAGAAAAAAAGACAACCCCAAACCTTCACTGACATAGGCCTTGATGGAGAAGCAGAAAGACACACTCCATTCCCCTTGCACGTCAGAGCCTGGACAGCCCAACCTACTATATTTTGTGAGCTCCAGCCCTGCAGGGAGACAGGGGGGAGGGGAAATCAAGGAGGGAGAGGAAGAAGCAGCAGCAGTGCAGGTTCCCCAGTGTGGGGAGGAGGAAGGGAGCCCTGAGGTCCTGATCCAGGCAAGCCAGGGGCTGCATCCAGCCCCTGGCCCCTGCCCCTAGGTTCCCCATCCCTGCTGCAGAGTCCCAACAGCTCTCTACACACCTTGCCCCCTTTGCCTCCCAGTAATTGGGTCCAGCTGCTCCAGCTTCCTATCCCTTTCATTCCTACTAAAAACTATTCTTCTGGGTCCTAGGTCCCACTTTGCAAAGAAGCATTGCCTGATTTATAAGGAAAACCAGGCCATTGAGGAACTGTGACCCTGAGGCCCTCAAAGAGTTTGTTCACCTGCCATGTGCTCAAAAAGTGCTTGATTATGCAAGGTACTGAGCAGCTTTAGGAATGCTCATTGCCACCATGCAGGATCAAGGCCTGAATCCTGGAATTGCAAAATTAAAAAAAAAATCTAGTGACTTAATTTCTAACAATAAAACAGCTACCCACCCAGTTACACACAGTAGACAAACTCTGATCTCATCCACGCTGATCTGAACAGTCAATGGAGTTAAGAAGTTCTGAAAAAAGAACTTGCTCCAGATGGGGTTCGCCAGTGTAGATGATAGTACCATTTTATCCGTGGTCCTGTCTGGTTCATTTGTCAGTATAGGATAGTATTTTAGTGGTGAAAACATGAACCTTTGGGTCAGGATAGCTGGGTTCTAACCTCAGTCAGATAGTATTACCCCTAGCAAGTTACCTGCACCTGCATTTTCAAAAGCATCCCCTAATTTTAGTGCTCCAGTTTTCAGCTGGCCAAGTTAAGACACTTTGGTGTCTTAACAGAGAGTAGAGCTGGTAGGGAGGGGCTGCCACAGAACAGAATGTCAAGGCCCCCAAATCCAATGTGATTATTTGTGTAAGCAAATCAGGGTTGCTGAACTGTGTTGTATGTAAGCACATATCTTAAAATAGAATTCTACAAAACTGTTCTTAGAAATCCTGGTCAGTCTCCCTGATCTACATAACTATGAACAGTGCTGGATCATTATGCTATGGAACTTGCTATTTTTCTGATACTCACAACATGGGCATTAGATTGAAGGTGTACAGGATATGCGGCTCCTATGTCTACGAGGGCAGCTCTCAAAGAGCTTAGAAGGCAAGGACTCTTTCTCCTTAAATACATAGAAATAAATAGCAGATGTTACCTTCCAACCATGCAGAGTTTCCTGCATTCAAATTTATCTACTGTACTTATATGGGCCCCACCACCATTGTATCTGAGCATTTCACAATCTTTAAAGTTTTCCTCATTACAGGGATAGGCCCCATTTTAGCAATGGGGAACTGAGGCACAAAGCCATCAAGGCTCATAGTCTACCCTCAAAGTATTCAAGCACCCAACTCCCACTGAAGACAATGAGAACAAGGCACCTAAATCTTGGCATAACTGACTCATCAAGGGTTACACAGTGACAGAAAAGCTGTCAAAAGGCTGGGAATTAACCCTGAGTCCCTCAAGACCCAGGCTAGCACCCTAACCACTGAACTACCCTTCCTCTTATGCTCTATTCCCTCTGGCCTACTTTACATCAACAGAGTGACAAACTTGCAGCTTCCTATGTGATTAAATTTTAAAATGATACTAAAGGAACTCATATATGTATTGATTTACTCTACTTTGTAATGAAATGTAGCTATTAGAATCTTTTTTTATATTACACAGCAGTTTTTCTTTAGGTTACATCAGTTAACTTTTTGGTACCTATTGTGTTCTAGATATGTTAAATATCGGTTAATTGTATAGTCAAGTAACCTCATGAATTCTTATAGGTTAATCAGCTATTCTACAGTCCCCGGGGAGCTGGGCCAGCAGCCAGTGCACGCCAGCCCCACTCCCAAGGAGCTCCCTGCCACGCTGCACTGCTGCTTCACCAGGGTGCCAGGAGGGAGCTGGTCTATGAGGGGAGCCAGTTTAAAAACCAGCTCCCCTTGCAGATTGGCTGCCTGTTGCACTGCACTGCTGTCTCTGATATAGAGGCAGCAGTGCAAGGTCGCAGCAGCCCCTGTCCGGGGAGTGGGGCTGAGCTCCTGGACCAAGGACAAGCTGGAAATGAGCCAGGCTGCCTGCCCACCTGGCTTCTAATACACTTCAAATGCAGAGACGCAGCCGGGGTAAGTCCCAGACCCAGCACGAGCCAGGACTGAGCTGGGCTGCTGGCCAGCCTGCTAAAAAATTTACTGGCAGGGGATGGGGAAATGTGTGTACAGGCAGTCCCTGGGTTACGTACAAGATAGGGACTGTAGGTTTGTTCTTAAGTTGAATCTGTATGTAAGTCTGAACTGGCGTCCAGATTCAGCCGCTGCTGAAACTGATCAGTTTCAACAGTGGCTGAATCTGGGACTGAGCTGGGCTGCTGGCCAGCCTGCTAAAAAATTTACTGGCAGGGGATGGGGAAATGTGTGTACAGGCAGTCCCTGGGTTACGTACAAGATAGGGACTGTAGGTTTGTTCTTAAGTTGAATCTGTATGTAAGTCTGAACTGGCGTCCAGATTCAGCCGCTGCTGAAACTGATCAGTTTCAACAGTGGCTGAATCTGGATGC